TCTGCTCTAGCGGGAGAACTGAGCTATGGAATCCATGGTGTTCCTGCACCACCCATTTGGGAACTGTTGCTCTACTCTGTTCCTGGTCAAATCAAACAGATCAGCAGGAAGAGCAGTTCTTTTTCTAGGGTGTCCCCTGGAGCTCCAAGTGAACTCCGCTTCCCACATTGTTTCTGGTGGAGTTCCAGCTGCTGGTGGAATTCTGATCACCATTCACTGAATGCCCTGTTGTATGGAATCACTGCAACACCACACCATTGTGTCTGCTGTTTTCCTGTGTCTGTCAGTCTCCAGGTGCCCCACTGCTGTTGTTCTGTCCTCTCCTATTTCCTGGAATGTCCCTTCTCTGCTTCACACTGGCTAATGTTTCTCTGTTCAAATGTGTCCTTACCCTATTCTGCCATCTTGATTCTCTGCCAACTTTCCAGTAACTGTGGAAGCTGGTAGCCCCGGAATGAGTTCCTTGAGCTTTTGTGGGTGTTGCGGGATTTCTGCCTCTTGTTCCCATTGACCTGGTTCTTTTTTCTTTCTCTGTCAAAGGTGATCCAACAGTCAACCCGGGATGCTCAACTCCCCATTCCACAGCTCAATTCCAACCCCAAATAGGGGCTAAATTTGAAATAAAAGAATCAGGTTTAGAATTGAGGCTGCCGCCAGTTGGAGCTCCTGGAAACGCTGCAGAGATGAATACCACTGACACCTGTAGCTGCCGAGGCCCCTCGAGCTCTATAGAGCTCTAGCGAGTGCTGAGTGAGTGACTGGGGTGATCAGGGGCCGACTTGAGGGGAGCTTGGCGAGAAATCGGGTTCCTGATGGTAGAGGTTGGGTGGCAGAGGGGATGGTAGAAGGGGTGGCAATGACTCCAAGGAGGGAAGAAATTGTTCCTAGGAGAAGTCACAATCATGCTGGCCTTCTTGCTGTTGCATGAGCTGTGGTACTCTAGTGGACACGTGGCGTCCCTGTGTCCACTCCCCTTCACTCCTCTAGAGGGAAAGTCCACACAGGAGTTAAGGCCTGCCTGCTCACTGATTACCAAACCTGTTCTCAACATGTGACTAGCAAGATAATATCTTCCTTGTGGGGATTTGACCAAGGGTTTTGCCTCTTTCCTCTCCTCTTCCCACAGCCCCTGTGACCTTCGACACAGATTGGCCCATCTGGACCTAAACATTTACCAGGATTTGAAAACAGTCATAGCAGAGATGATCCTTCAGAACTCCTCAGAGGAACCACTGAAGATTCACCACTTCCAATTGTCCCTTGGCATGTTTGTCTTGCAGGGGTTTTGTTTGTTACTTTTTAAAAAAATTGTGATGATCTTTACATAGTTGATTAGGGCACAAAGGTTCAAGGGCTACAGCAGAGTGGGTAAGACCATTGTTTCCACATTCTCCTTTTTCCTTCCTGTATCTGGGGGATAAAGGGAAGATAAAGGGAGAAGCCACATCCAGTCTCCCAGGGTCCCCAATGTGGGACATGCTCTGAGGGCACTGTTCAAGAGGTTTTGATAGTATATCAAAAATTGTTTGAATTGTTGCTAATTTTGCCATTCCAAGCATAATGAAATTTCTTCAGAATCCACTGGCTGACATATTCCACCTTAGTGTCCACACTTGCCCAGATTTTCACTGCCAACACTTGGCTGGGGTAATTGGTCAATTTGTTCTGTCTTCTGTTCTGGTACTAGGTATCTTATGCAGGTTCCAATGTACTTCCATATCCTCAATATGCACTTGGATATGCTGTCCACTGACATATGCATTCCACAGTCAGACCATGGAACCTTGCAGGGGTTTTCTAAAAGCTGCCACACCTGGGAGGTGGAGTGCACCGGGCCTGCGTTGTGGGCGTGGCATGAGGAGGTGTCATGCAGGGGCAGCCTGACCCTGAACACATGAGCAGCTTCTGGGTGCTGTACATTGCCAGATTCAAGTGTCAGGTGCTCACTGGGAGCAGCTCCTCAGAGTCCCTTAATATGTGCCCCAGGAGAGTGGGTATCTGTGTAGATCTTGAGGGCAAGGAGGTCAGCTTCTACGACTCTGATATCAACAACTACATCTACACTTTCCATGCCTACTTCCCAGGAAAGATCTTTCCTTATTTTAGGCTACTATTCTCAGGCACCCAGATCATCCTGAGCTCCTACCAATGCTCCTTGGTCATCCTCTAGGACTTCTTGGGGCCACTCCATTACTAGGAGACCAGAGCCTGATATCTGTGATCCCACTTCATTTATTTATTTTAAGGAAATATTGGAAAAGTATATTTTATATTGGAAAAGTATTTTATATTGGATTTTATATTGGAAAAGTAGATTTTACAGAGAGAAGAGTCAGCAAGAGAAAGCTATCCCATCCACTAGTTCACTCCACGTGGCAAATGAGCCGAGCCGAACAAAAGCCAGAAGTCAGGAGCTTCTTCCAGATCTCCCATGTGTGTAGAGAGGCCCAGGATTGAGTCATCATCTACTTTTTCCCAGGCCATAAGCAGAGAGGCAGTTTGGAGGTTAGAATCTGGGACATGAACTAGTAATGATAGAGATGTTGGTGCAGAGAGGACTCAACCATTCTGTCAGCTCCAGTGACCCTGTGGAGATCACTCTGGATTTCTGCCTGCTTAGCCTATGTGGGAGGTCATAGGCACATGGCACACCAAGTCCCTGGGGGAACCCCCTGACAATGGTTTCAACTAATCGAGACCTCAACCTGGCCTGTTCACTGAGCATGCAGTGAGAGTAGCAGGTTTCACCTCAGTTTCTCCTCTCTGTCCTTGCATGAGCTATGCTGGGCCTTCCTTGAGAAGCAACTCTAAGAAGTCAAATACAACCCACAGCCTACCTCCCAGCCACACATGGTGAATGTGACTTGAGGCATAGCTTCCAGCTGTGCTTGTTGAATGACCTTGACCTGTGACTTGGTTGGAGGATCTAGAGAGCTAAACATGACTTACCAGTTACAGTGTCATTGTTGGGTGAGAGGCCAATAGAGGAATGCCCATCTGCTTTCCCTCTTCCTGGTCTATGTAAGTTGTGCTTGCTTTACAGTAAATGGACATGCTCCATCAGATTTTTCTTGGTGGTTCTTGTGGCCAAAGAACACTGTTGACTCACCCCCTCTGTGATCTTGGGGGCCTGCTTGCAGGAAAAGCACCCAAGATGGCACTGTGCTAGATATTCTCCAAGTTCCCTGTCAGAATCCTGGTCCCCGTCTCTAGCTCTCTTCTCTTTGTGGGTCATGGGAGGTGACAGGTGAGGGTCCTTGGGTCTCTGCCAGCCCCATGAGACCTAGCTTGTGTTCTGGACTTCTGGTTTTTCTCTGGCCCTGCCCTACCTGTTGCAAGTATTTGAGTAGTGAACCAGTAGATGGAAGAGATTTCTCTCTGATTTGCAATTAAGATGAAAATAAGTTTTACGTGCAATACTTTTCCCCCTGGAATTATTTCTTTATTTATTTACTTAGTGCATAGGATCAAGGGTCACTTCCTGTGATGTCACTTCCTCCGGAGATGCCACTTCCTCCGCTCATGTTTATGCATAATGGCTCCTATGTACAATAATTTTATTGTAATCCTTGGAAATATGTATCCTAAGGATAAAAACAATCACAACTAGATCTCAAATTTGTCACTTATGTTGGTAATGTTAATTTTACTATTTCAGCCTAGTATGTATGTAAGTATAAATATGTATATGTATATATATAAACAATGAAGGATAAAACAAATAATTATGTTTAAGCTACTAAGAATCAATATTTTAAACCTATAAGAATGGGGTATGTTTTCATATGAAACGGTCTGATTCAAATAAATAAAAGCGTAGTAATGCTAACTTAGATTTGAAAATCAGAATAAACTCATGATGTAATTCCTCTGGAAAATAGTAAAATTTATTTCTGCACTTTGCATACAAAGCAGCTCTGAACATGTGTAAGAATCCATCAGAACCTATCAGAATCACATTACCAGCCCCGTGGAGATGCAGACATAAAACTCCAGTTTGGGAAATTGTATAACACAGATCAGTTTGTTTATCAAAGAGATTTCTGGGGGAAAGGGAAACATACAGACTTAAACAGATTAAAGAGCATATCCACCAAGGATAATGGTGGTGTTGTTTTGACCTGATCTGGACAAAGCAATTGCAACTTAAATTTTAAAGTAATGGGCCAGAAATACCAACATACATCTATGTTAAAGAATTGCATTCTACTCTGAAAGAAGTTATTTGCATTCTGAAAGGTTAGCTATAGTATGATAAGAAAGCTGGAACTGGCTAGAAAAAAAATCCTTCAAATACATTGTTGACTGCCATTATTGCGGGAATGCACCTGACTCAGAGGCCAGACATGTTTTTAGAAGCACCCAACAGATGGGGATTGTCACTGAAGATTCCAAGATTGTTTACCCCCGCAGTAGGAGTGGATTTGGGATTTTGTTTCAAAGACAAATGCATCCACCCTCCCTGGTTACTCACATGCAGAAACCAAAGCTCATCCCCAGAGCTCTTGCATCTTAACCGCCAACAATCAAGCTGCTGTGCACATTAAGCTTGACATGTTCCAGGGTTGCCACATGAGGGACCCCAGTGTCACAGAGTTCGTGTTTTTTCAGTGACACTAAAAACTGGTTTCACTGATGAATTCTATAAACCATCTCAAGCAGATCTGACCCCAAACCTCCACAAATTCTTCAAAACAATAGAAAATGAGGCAACTTTTCCAAACTTGTTCTATGAAGGCAACATCACCCTAATGCCAAAACCAGATAGAGAACTAACAGAGAAGAAAAATTACAGACCTATCTCTCTGATGAACATAGATGCTAAGATCCTCAACAAAACCCTAGCCAACAGAATACAAAAATACATCACACAGATCATTCATCTGGATCAATTAGGATTCATCCCAGGTATGCAGGGCTGGTTCAACATTCGCAATCCATAAATGTAATATATCACATCCAAAAACTGAACACCAAAAATTGTATGATATTCTCAATAGGTGCAGAAAAGGCTTTTGACAAAATCCAACACTACTTCATGCTAAAAAGGCTAAATAAGGTAGACATAGAAGGAACAATCCACGACATAATCAAAGCAATATATGAAAGACCCAATGCCAGCATCATACTGAATGGAGAAAAACTGGAACCCTTTCCACTGAGATCTGGAATAAGACAAGAATGTCTGCTATCACCGATGCTATTTAACGTAGTACTGGAAATACTAGCAAAAGGTATAAGACAAGAAAAATAAATCAAAGGAATTCAAATTGAAAACAAGGAAGTCAAAGTATCTGTGTTTGCAGATGACATGATCCTATACATAGGAGAATCAAGAGACTCAATACAGAGACTGCTAGAACTTATACAAGAGTTTGGTAGAGTGGCAGGGTACAAAATTAATGAACAAAATTCAACAGTCATAATGTATGCAAACAGCCCCAAGATGGAAAAAGATATAACCAGCAGAGTACCATTCAAAATAACAGGGAAGAAAATGAAGTATCTAGGAATAAACCTAACTAGCAGATCTCTTTGAAAATAACTACAAAAAAACTTAAAAAAGAAATTGAAGAAGGCTTCAAAAGATGGAGAAACATATGCTCCTGGATAGGTAAAATCAATATCATTAAAATGTACATACTACCTAAAGTAATATATACATTCAACACAATCCCAATCAAATCACCCAAAACATTCTTTATAGAACTGGAAAAAATGATACATGATACAAAGGTACATGTGGAAACACAAAAAAACACAAATAGCTAGAACCATCCTGAAGAATAGGAAGTTAACAGGGGGAACCACACTTTCAGACCTCTGGACATAATATAGGGCGATGGTTATCAAAAGAGCCTGGTACTAGCACAAAGATAGAGAGGAGGATCAATGGTGCAGAATAGAAGCAACAGAAGGGAACCCACACAGATACAACCAAATAATCTTTGACAAAGAAACAGACAACAATCCAAGCAAATGAGAAGGTCTCCTCAATAAATGCTGTTGGAACAACTGGTTAATAGCCTGCAGAAACAAGAAGATATACCCACATCTTTCATCATACACTAAGATCAAATCTAAATGGATAAAGGACCTAAACCTACATTCAGAAACCTTCAAACTTTTGGAAAGAAAATGTTGAAAATACCCTGCAAGATTTAGGTGTAGGCCCTGATTTCCTAACAAAAAACAAACAAACAAAAAAGAAAACAACAACAACAACAAAAAACCCACCAAAAGCACTGGTAATCAAGACCAAGATAAACGAATAGAACTACAGCAAACTAAGAAGCTTCTGCACAGCAAAGGAAACATTCAACAAAGTAAAAAAGCAACCCACAGAATGGGAGAAGATCTTTGCACAGTACATAGGTGATAGGGTGCTAATCTCCAGAATATACAAAGAATTCCAGAACAACCAAAACACCAAAACAAACATAACACTCCAGAAATGGGCACGGGAAATGGGCAGACATTTTACAAAGAAAAAACCCAAATGGCAAACAAATGCATGAAAAAATGCTCAAGTTCTCTGGCAATAAGGGAAATTCAAATTAAGACATCAACGAGGTACCTCCTAATGCCAGTAAGAATGGCTCACATACAAAAAAAAACTACCAACAACACTTGTTGGTGAAGATGTGGGGAAAATGGAACCCTACTCCACTGCTGCTGGGGCTGCAGGTTGGTACAGCCTCTATGGAAATCAGTATGGAGAACACTCAAACAACTGAAAATCTGCATACCCTATGATCCAGCAATAGCACTCCTAGGAATATATCCAAAACACCTGTTACATGAGAAACCAACATGCACCTCTATGTTCATAGCAGCACAATCAGTAATTGCAAAAATATGGAAGCAACCAAAATGCTCATCAACAGAAGATTGGATAAGTTCATCTACTCAATGCAATACTACTCAGCTATGTAAAAAACAAAAACAAAACAAAACAAAACAAAACAAAAAATGAAATGTAGTTCTTTGTGGCCAAATGGGTCCAACTGGAAACCATTATGCTAAGGAAAATGAGTCAATCCCAAAAGGTTAGATACCACATATTTGCCTTAATTTAAGATGAAATGATGTCACTCTGAAAAATAGTACCTGTAAATTCTAATATTATTTCTACTTCAAACAGCCTGTATCACATGCAATAAGATATTGTGAAGTAACCAATAAACCAACAAGCAATGTGTATCAGACTGCTTATGATCAACATCAAAGAACTGAAAAACCTAATATGCTTTTAATATTCTGTTATTCCCTAAAGGGTTGGGAGAGTAGACAAATCTTCCACCTTCTTAGAGTGTGTGAGGAAGAAGTCAAGTATAAACTATCAAGATTATAACAGGTAACTTACAGACAGCAGACTTGAATCTGTACTAGACATTAGCAAAACTATAAAGACATACAAAGGGAATGAAGAGCAATCCTAACAGTCTCTTAACAGGAGGTCATACGCACAGAGCAGGGGTGTGCCCCAGAGTGGAGAAGGTGGACAGGAGGAGGCTTGTATCCCAACCCTGGAGACTCTTGGATCCTCACTAAGGACTATCAGAACGGGCACCAAGGGCTATATTCCAACAGCAAAGGAGATCACAGGGAATTAGACTGCCCTTGTAGGCTAAGAACTCTGAAGTCACCCATTCCCTTTCGAATCTCCCACATGGGATGGAAGAAGCCCAGATCCTTCCTCACAGGATCTAATGTCATTGGAACAACAGCCAGGAGCCCTGAGCAGTCCTCAGAAACAGAAGAACAGTAAACTTCCTTTGGGACTTGAGAGAGGAGTTTTTTCTGGTCCTTACTTAGTTCCAACTTTGGATCCCCACCCTCTTTTGCAATGACCATCAGGGTCGCTCCAGAGCACTCCTCCCCCCCCTCCCAGTTAGATCATATAGACAAAGACCAAAGCTTAGAGCAGACAGGAAACAGTCAACTTGGGTGTCCATATACCTTACCAGGTAGGACACAAAGATAAGTTACTCCTCACTAAGCTATTGAAGATTTCTCTGCATACCCCTCCTAAAATTGTCTGCATCAATTGTTAACATATGCCTGGTTAGAGTTATAAGCCTGTTTGGACTATATTAAAATTTTCCAAGTTCAGTAAAAATCATGCTTCAATACTATAAACTGCTAAATACTAAAATGAAAATAGACATGAGACAGCTGAATAGTACCCTATAACCATTTTAAGGTGTAATCGGCTGACTGTGTATAAATTAAAATTGAAATGTCAATGAAGTAGTCACAGGATGTGGTTAACAACTTGCATTTTCTAACATTGGTCACTCAATACCATGTCAATTAATTCCATGATGTTGTAAATTGTTGTTAATGTTATGTTGTGGCTTTTCATTCGATGGGACAACATTCTGCCAACTCTATTTTCAGACCAGGGATGGTCTTCCAATGAAACTGTTGAACTTATCTGGACAATAAGAGGCTGGACTCTATGCATGGTACATGCTCGCAATGAAGGAATCATGACTGGATATGAACTGTACTACTGCAACAATGTGGAGGAATCCAACATGGGGGGAGGGCATGTAGAGGGGTTCGGGGAATCCCAGGGCCTATGAAACTGTGTTATAAAGCAAAAAAAAAAAAAAAAAAAAAAAGTAGGATTAAATGCTCAGTTATTATACAAGTTGGAAAATGTGCTTTAGATTCAACTGGCTGAAACTTTAAGATTTTTATCCTTTATGGTGGTAAGTGACATTGTCCATGATTTTCTTGTTTCCCTTGCCCTACATTGATTTTGGTGTGCTGATAGCATGATCCTTTTGACCCCATGGGAAAAAAAAAATTTTTTCATGAAAGACACATTTTTTTTTTACTATAGAAATGATTTATTACTCATGCCAAAGCCGCTGCCCACAAGGTGGAGGCTGAGTCCTTGGCTTCCCCTGGCCCAAGAGTAATAATCCCCTCAGGGTGAGCAGCCATGAGGGAAGCCTGGGAGCTGGGTTAATGCCCTAGCTCTGCCATGCTGCCAAAAGCTGGCAGCAGGACAAGTCGGGGTGGATTCTGAACTTGGGGTGGGGGGCAGTCTTAACCTCCCACAGGGTGGTACTTGTTTGGGGCGCCCCTGCCTGACAGAATCTGATGGGGGAATCAGGCCAAAGCCGCCGCCCACAAGGCGGCAGAGTCCTCAGCTTTGGGTGGCCAGTGCACCGAATAGTGCCAGGCTCTGCCTGCTGGCCACCCTGCGGCAAGCTCTGGGGTTTTATGACATGAAATAACAGCTTAGGGACACCCATAAATAAAGCCAGCTTTAGCTAAGACACGAATCCCTGGTGATTCCCAGGAACAGGGACATGAAACTTTAGGGCAAGTGTGGGACTGAGACCTGAAGGCTAGGCCTGAACAAACCTTAGCCCACAAGCAAGATTGGAAACCAGGGTGGAGCTTAGGACATGCCCAGATAGGTTTTTGCACCAACTGGTCTGCATGAGCCACAGATGCTGAGCCATAGTGTCTAAGGCAGGTGTCGCGACAGGTGAATGGGGCTGCGCTCTGGTCAGGATACAGTTATTGTCTCCCTTGGTACAGTGTGGACTGGGACAAGAAGTACCAGGCTGGGCCAAACTGCAACACCTTTCTGGTTCTCTGGAGGACCAGGGTAGATGTGGGACAGACTAGGCTAGGTCTCAACCCCAACTGAGCCATATATGAGCTATATGGGGGTGTAGATGAGCCGTGGCTGGGCTAAAACATCCTACAGCAAGAACCAGAGTGGGTTGAAGGCCAGTTAGGAAAAGCCATTGTTTCTGCTAGGGCAGGAGGCGAACTGAGTAGTACTGGCACATGGACCCTCTGGTATACTTGAAAACTGGCACTTGGAGGGATTCTGATGGAGGAGCCTGGGCAACTCCTCTGGCAGGACACAGACCCGGCAGGTAAGTGCAAGAAGCATGGAAGAAAACAGCCAAGAGGTCATGGAAAGTTTCCCACTGGCATACATTTGGCATGAGTCGAGGGCAGACCAGGCTGAATCAGTTCACGTCATCCACTGGTAAATCCGAATGCCAGAACAGAGTGTGGGTC